TAAGAATAGATTTCCGCGAAATTTCCTGATCGTTAAACTCTAAATCACTTCTTCCATACGTACTCAAAGATTTCAACCGCAACGGTTTCGAATTTGGGTTTGAATTTTGTTTGTGTGATGAATGTCAACGGGAATGTTGGACGTCATTTTGGCGTTGAGCTTGACAAACGTTTTAAGTGAGAGTATTGTGGAGATAACATTCATCTGAATTATTCAAATCTCAAAGTTCACAAGTGACTCGAATATGAACTATTTAATCACGTTGGTGTCCAATTGTTCAGTTGTATGTCTTTGATGTTGGTGTATGCGATTAACGTTGCTTTCATTTAAATAACTTTTCAATTGAACCTGAACTATTTTCAGTAGAAGTTGAAAAACCAGAAATGCGTTTGTGTGGCTCAGCATTGTCCGTACTAGTTGTACTGTCAGTAGTGTTCGGACTAATCGAGAGTAACGACTTGAAATCAGATCAAACGATGATCGATAATCTGTCATCATTGAATCATGATGTCAACAAACGTGCAGCACTCTTGTCAAGATACGGAAGGGCTTTGCTTTCAAGATACGGCAAACGATCAGAACTCACTCCTCAACCATTTGTCATTCAGAACACGAATGCTGACGGCTATTTCGATCAACTAAGTATTCATCAACATGAATAATTACTTTATGAGTCTTTTAAGCGATTATTGCTTTTAATCAACAATTTTATGTTCCATTTAATCAATTATTCAGATCAGTAATTTAAAGTGCGAACATTTCATTTTCCATTATTCAGATCAGTAATTCAAAGTGCGAACGTTTCATTTACTCGCTCGATTAGCATCCAATGAACTGATTTCACACTCTTTCCAATAGCACATGTCATCTATCAACAATCTGATCACTACCATAATTTTCAGATGGTTTGTTATTGTGTCGACAGACTTACGGTGAATTCGTCCAGTGCATACCATATCCGCGATAATCACACCGTATCAGCGATAACCCACTTCAGCAGATACCATCGTTTCGACCACCAACCCAAAACCAATCTTGAGATGATCCACCGAACGAATGACTAATGATGGATTGCGTGTTTGTTTGTTTGTGTGCTCGTGTCTGACAAATTGCACTTCCTTATTGGAGTGCTGATCTCATACTTGATTATTCAGTGAATACTTCCTTCTTTAATACCAATTTTAGCGATAATTGGTTGACCGATAATGCAAAATGAATCTTTTTATTAACTGATTGATCAACTTTTTATTAAATGATGCGAAATGAATTTAATTGATTGGTACTTTATTAATTGATTCAAGAATTCTGGTGATAAATATTTCTCAATGTTGGTTTCCTGTTCATTCGTTTATGCCATCGCATGAACACGTTGCAAGTGATTACGAAAAAGTATGTTCGTGGAATTGACAATATCACATGTATACACTGCTTCAATTGAAACAACTCTCATCACCAAAAGCATTTGTTCGTCTTCATTGACGATTGGAACATCTGTACTTCATGATAAGCTGATGACATATGTAGTGACATAATCATAAAACATGAAGTGAAATGTTTGTAAACCACGAAATTATTGAAATATTTATAGGGGTTCATCAACGAATCTATTGCAAGTGTAGGCTGGAAATGACATATTTGCTTATCGTTAGTATGTGCTAGATGAGTAAATGAAGTGAGCTGCTTGCCTACACTCATGATTGATACGAAATAATATGTCACATTTGCAGCTTTGCTTGATTTGCATAGCAGGTGTGTCGAATGAACAACACTCTTGTTGTAAAAATATCATTGTAAAGTTCTCAGCAACCACAATAAGACGTATGATATTTATTAGAATTCAAACATAATTGTCAACATTTCACATTAGAAGGTATGATTAATCGAAGATCATCAATTCGTTCATTTTTGATGAAGTATTATCGGTACACTTAATCGCTGACGTCAAGAATTTCTGTGATCATCTGATTGCCAGCCTCGGAACTATTAACCATATCTTGGTATAGCTCTTGCTTCGGCTAACGTTCGATCAATCTTCTCCAAAAATCGATCTCGTGGTCGAGAGGTGATCTGCACAAAATTCGAGCCAACGATTCGAGAGTCTTGATTTCGCACGTACGAATGATCACGATACATATATGGGGTTAACGGAGTGCTGAAACGTTTCTTATTGAGTTCCATTATCACATTTTGGATTAGTGAAGGATGAAAATGAAAACAATGCGATTTCTGCCCAGAAGGCTTAGATTAACTACATCCGGTAGTTCATGTGACATCTTCAATGCATTTAATATGTTGTGACACATTAGTTCAGTTAGGCGTATATAACTGACTTATAGGGTGCGGTGTAATTGTTTATTTGGAAATGCTTGAATAAACAATTTAATTAAGATGAACAATAGTTAATCAGTCGAGAAAAAAAAGGAATTAATTAACGGATTCAACGGAAGTTATCACTGAGTGGAGTATAAAATGCACGCTTCCGGCCAACCTCAACGATAAAAGTGAATTTGAAAGAATGGGATATGTGTCTCTATATCGATTTCTCACCAAAAATTGTTGTGTACTCAAAATGTTTTGCTCGTAATCAAATGCCGTTCAGACATCATTAATTTTAACGAGCATCAGTCAGACAATGATTTGGCTTATATCTAATTATCTTTTCGTGTTATTATGATCTCGTGTGGATGACTTCACGCATTAAAGCGTTTCACGCTCATCAGATCAGTTTCGCATTATGATTGGATTGCACGTTTAACATGACCATTTGCTGGGATCCGAATGGTCCATGCAATAGTCCATACGTAAAGCAGCTGACAAGCAATTGGCACATCACGGGTTCGATTTTGCCACTCGCGAGGGCAAATTTTGATAGAAAGCGAATGATCTNGTATTCTGCAGTGAAGCAATAATTGTCAAAAAATTGAACACATTACTCTGAACTTCCTTTACGATCCACAATCATTTGCTTATTGTTGCGTCTCCAGTCATCGTCCGATCGCTCCTTGTAAGACGAATAAACTCCCTTCAATTTCAATTCTGCATTAAAAAACAGCGAATGCTTCACGGTAAACGCCTAGTTGCAAACGAATAGATCTCGGTTTTCACATAACATTAATGCTTATAATTAGGTTTACTCAGTAACCGTATGAGTTCTTTTTATAATCGGATGGAAGAATGTACACGAATGTACATTCCATCCGATTATAAATTCATCCGTCAATTCCATCCGTGGATGGAATTGACGAATAATGCTTACAGTTAATTGCAAAGATATACGTAAATCACTGAAAGTCTGCTATATAATGGAACGAATTGAATCTGCCGCTCAGCTTTGTGTACTTAATTCATGTGTCAATCTCATCCATCAATGCGAAATTCGAGCCGAAACGAAACTAGCGACAACAAACACGAGTGTAAATGGTTTCGTCTAGTCACAAACCTGGTAATCCAGTGGATTATCGACATAGGGTTTAATGCCATGCCTTCGCGAGAAATATTCGTTGGATTGTTTCGGCATATAGACCGGATAGTTCAGATACGATGTATCCGCAAGACCCGTTAAGCCCAAACTGCTATATGTACCCTCAAGGGGTGATTGTAATAACACATTGTCTACTGAAAACAAACCATTC